GGGGGGGAGAGGGACGAAGGGAGTGGGGAGGGAGGGAAGGATAGAGGCATATGTCGGGCCATAAAATGCCGTGCCAGACATACAATATTTATTTTGTAATTCTCTGCTATTTAAAAATCTGTCTGGGAGTAAAAAAGTCTAAAAAAAGTAAATATTGTTAAATATATTTAATTAATTTTATAATAATTTATAAAATAAAATTCAAAAACAAGTCTATATTGTCTGGGCATCGTTTTTCACAAAAAATCATCCGAGCTAAAATTGATTTCTTCGGTTTAAGCCAATTTAAAATATTACCTTAAATATATTAATAAATAATTGATAAATATTAAAGTGCCTATTTAATAGATTGTGAAGATTACTTGGTGGGATAAAGAGGAGTTTTTTATTGAATAAAATACGATAGATTTTTTTATGGATTGTTTTGATGCTTTAAACAAGAATTTCTGGCGCCTGATGATATATCTATTAGATTTTAAAGCATTACAAATATTTTTTATCTATACATAGTTTCTGAATTTAGTCTACAAACATAACAAGAAATAATAAAATAATTTCTTCCGCCCAAACCCCGAAAATAATTGAATTAGTAACACAGATACACGCCTCAAAAGTCTTTAAGCCTACTTAAAAACCTCAAAGAATTTTTATAGAATATTTTCTTATTCCATTTTTATATACCTATTTCAATTTTTGGATTTAAAATAAAATTTTATCTAATTATAAAAATTTAATTAAAATATTTAAAAATTAAATTCCTCTCTTTTTTATTTTTTTAAATTATTTTCTTCATTATATTTTTCATCTTCAATTTCTGTTTCCTCAATTTCTAAATTTTTATTTAAATTATTATTTTCATTAATTTCTTCTAAATTATTATCATTGGTAACCAAATTTTCTTCATTTATTTCTTCTCTTTCATCATTTTCTGTTTTACATGTAGAAGAAGATTCGGCACAATTTTCTTTTTAGAAAAAGAAAAATTATTTTTTAGTGGATAAAAATTTATTTTAAATTAATTTTTTGAATGGTATTTATTAGGGTTTCACCGGAAGTCCGGTTCCGGTTCCGGAAAGTTCCGGTGTTTTTTTGGTTCCGGTCAAAATTTCGATTCCGGTGAAACCCTAGTATTTACTAAAATAATTACTTGAAAGTAATAAAATATTTTTTCGAACTCTTTTATGGAAGGGGAATAATAATAATTAAATTAAAAATAAATATTATTTTACCTAATTTTGTTTGTTTTTGTAAATTTCTCATTTGCATAATTGTTTGTAACAAATTTGGATTCATTAATAAAAAATTTGGCGGAAAATTATTCAATGGATTTAATAATTTTGTGTGAATATTATTTAATTGTTTTTGAAATAAATTATTTGAAAATATATTTGGTGGTGGTGAATTTACTTTAAAATTAGAAATTAATTAATTAATTAAGGGTTAGAAAACAGTTTAAGATTTGAGACGTTTTTTAAAAGACAGTCTCGGGTTTCCAAGAGAAAGTGCTGGAAAATGTTTAAAGACAATTTTTTCTAAAAATCAAATCAAATCAAATCAAATTTATTCAGCAAAAAGGACTCTAATTGAGTCTCTTACAATTGCAAAAATAGAATTATAAAATATTTAAAGTCAAAAATGAATAAGCATTAATGTTTTATGAAAATATTTCATCAGTAGAAGTATGAGGGCGCTTATTCATTTTGACGAACAAAAATTTGTCAACAGGGCACTTATGTTTGAAAAAAGTGCTTAAAAATATAAAAAATTAAAAAAAAATTTCACAAAAAATTATAAATAAATTGAAATTAAAAAGCAAAAACAATGTCCATAGGGAATCATAAAAATTAGAGAAAAAAGGAAATTGTATAAAATGTCATTTTGTCAAAACGCCAAAAAAACAATAAAGGAACGCCAAAAGTAAAAAATTATTTGAATAATCATGGCCATATGAGTCTGGCATTTGTAGCAAAAATATAAGTTAGAATTGATTTAATTTACGGAAATGTGTTTATCAAGAAGGGTTTTTAGGTTATTTATTAACCAAGATTTAAAACTTGTAATGGTGCTATATTCTACTGCCTCTTTAGGTAGGGAATTCCAAATTTTAATGATCCTGTTGGTAAATGAATTGTGTGTTTTATTGGTCTTATGAGGTATGTTTATAATGAATTGGTGTTTCCTACTTGGTCTTTGGTTGAAGGTAAAGAGTTCTAAGGGGTTAATGCTAGTGTGTCTAAAAACTATTTTATATAAAGTAATTAGATCAATTCTAAACCTCCTTAAATATAGTGGCTCTAAATTTAACATGTTTAATCTCCTGTCATATGGAATTTTACGTAGAATTCTACAACTCCTTAACGCTATACGCGTGTAGAATTTCTGGACGCGCTCTATATATTTTATGTTTTTCTTTAAAGAAGGGTTCCAAACAGGAGATGCATATTCTAAAAGGGGCAACACATACATCTTGAAGTAATTACCCCATATTTTTGGATTTGTAGATTTAATGTTTCGTAATAATTGTATTGATCTCAACATAGAAATGTTTCTAACATGGTTAATATGTTCTTCAAAATTTAGTTTATTATTAGTTATTACACCTAGATCCTTAACTATATCTGCCTTAGGTAATTCATTGCTATTTACATAGTAATTAAATTTCGGATTTTTATTGCCAATATGAAAGACAACGGTCTTGTCTAGAGAAATATTTAGCCCCCAAGCGGTATTCCAATCCAATAAGTTATTAATGGCATTTTGTAATAGATGACATTCTGAATCACTTTTGAAATCAAATGTAAGCTTAATATCGTCTGCGAACATGGATATGTATACATCTTTACCTATCTTAGTTACAATATCATTAACATATATTATGAATAGTAAAGGACCAATAACCGTGCCCTGGGGCACACCAGAACTAATGGAATATTCTTCAGAATGATCATTTCCTATTTTAACTTTAAATGTTCTGCCTTTTAGAAAATTTTTTATCCACCGATGGATTTTACCTCTTATACCATAGCTGTATAGTTTATTAAGTAAAAAATCTATTGGCACTGAGTCAAAAGCTTTTTTATAGTCTATGTATATGACATCAGTATTGGATTTCTCTAACAAAGATTTATACCACTTTTCCATGGTAAGTATTAATTGAGTTGTGGTGCATCTACTTGGCATAAATCCGAATTGGCAATCACTTATTATTTTATTTTTTATCAGAAAGCTTAGTATTTCTTTGGTTAATATTTTCTCAAAAATTCTGCAAATGGGAGATGTCAGAGAAATTGGCCTATAATTAGTATATTCGGTTTTTTCACCCTTTTTAAAAACAGGTGTTATGTATGATCTTTTCCATTGGCTGGGAATTTCTCCAGAATCAAGTGAGTTTCTAAAGATTTCGCACAAGATAGGGGCAAGAATGTCCTTATAGGATTTAAGTATTTTATAAGATATAAGTTCGAATGTTGAATTTTTATTAGGCAGTCTAGTTAGTTCAGTAACAACATTTATGATGTCGAAATCTATGTCATTTAATTCTTTTGTGTTGTGAAAACTAATTTCAGGGCTATCCCATGAGGGTACATTCTGAAATAATTTAGAGAAATATTGGCCAAAAATTTGGCATTTATCTTTATTATCAGCAATATATTTATTCTCGTACAGTAAAATAGGAATTGAGAATCTTGGTTTAGTGTTATTCCGAATATACTTTCTTAAAAGAGATGGATTATTCATAATTTTATTATTGCGGATATTTTGATAATTGCGCATGAGATATTTAGCCGTTTTACAAATTTTACTATACTCAATCCTATCGCTTTCTTTACAATTAGTTATCTGTTTTAGTTTGCGAAAAGATGTATATTTATCATTTATTGCTTTTTTGATATATTTGGGGTAAGTTATTTTCTGTTTTAAAGGAATCGATTTAGTAGGTATATTGTTAGATATAGTTTCATTTATTGTATTACACAAAAAAGTTTCTCTGTCTTCAACTTTAAAGAACATATGAATATGATCTAAGGAAAGCAATATTAATGGTTTTATTTGGTTTAAATTTCGTTCATTTATGTCACGTATTAAGATTTGTTCAGGGATTGGACAACTTATATTTAGCTTAAAATATATCGAAAAGTGATCTGAAGTAGAAAATGAGGGTTTTATCTGATAATTACTTATTAGGTTTTTAGAATTACTTAATAGTAAATCTAAAGTAGAACCTTTAACGTGCGTAGGTTCTCGAATATACTGCTCATAGCTTAATATTTCAGCAAATTCTAAAAATTTTGCCTCATAAGGGATACTAGTGTGCTTGGCATTCCAGTCTATACAAGGCATATTAAAATCTCCAACAATAATTGAATTTTTCTCTGTATTATCTTCAAGACATTTAATTAGATGAGTATGGATTTTTTTGTTACAATTGGGAGGACGATAAACGCAAAATAGCCTTATCTTTTGGGGTCTTAATATGTCAACAATAATTAATTCATAACCCTTATTGTTTGAAACCAAGACCTTTCTACTTGGAATATTTGATTTAATAAGTATTGCGACGCCGCCGCCTTTTCTTTTGTTAGCATTAAATCTATTACATAAATAAACTTCGTATTTTGCATTAAAAGACAGTTCATTAGCAGTAAGTGTGATATCCCTAATCCATGTCTCTGATAGCATTAATAAATCAGGGTTTTCTACTCCAACAAAAAGTCGCAAATCGCTTAATTTATTTACTACTGATCTGCAGTTAAAATAATAGCAGCCTATTGATGTACTTTGTTTAGTTTTTTGACTTATAATTTTTGGGACTTTAGTAAATATAGCACCATTAATGTGACTTTTGTCAGGATTATTAAAAATTTTGTTGGTTATAAACACATTATTATTACCTTTACTCATTTCTAACTTTTTGTTTACTAATAAATTTTTTACTTTTGGATACCGACAGTGTATTGGGAAGTTATGGTGATAAAGCGAATGCGAAGTCCCTAATTTACTTAAAAATTTATGTTATTTTGTGGTAAGTTTTTATGATTTTGTTTAAATTTTGGTATTTCGCTTCTCAACATAACTTCCCCAGCATATACAACAAAATCGAATTTTGTCGATAAACGTTTCTGTTTACAAATTTCAATCAATTCATTCCGTTTATTTAACTCTTCTTTTGACATACTCTTACGAATATTAATTCCCTTAAATTTTCCACCAACCAGTTTCTTCTTGTTCCTCAGAGCTTCCACAACTGCTGCTGTGCACGGAAATTGGACTTTGATGGGCCTTGGCTTGGAGCCTGGTTCCCGTTGTTTTCCGAGTCGAAATACTGCTGATGGTAGACATCGATCAATATTAAGTTCATTTAATATTTGACGAACATTTCTGTTGTCTGACGCTGCTCTATCCATTGGTTGTTGTTCAGTGCTTTCTGGTAATCCGGTAATAACGAGAAGGTGTTCACGTTGTCGTTGTTCGAAGGAGTCGTCAAAAGTTTTTTGTTCTGTGAGGAGTTCAGAAGCTACACGGAGAAGGCCATTAAGTTGTTTAAGCATTTTTTGTTGATTTATTATCATTGTTCTTGCATATTCTGGAAGATTTGGGTCTGATGGTGGGGCATCAACAAATCCAGTAAAGTCTAATTAAGTGATTGTCTTGAGTAAAAGTTGTTTTTTGGAATAAGGTGGATTTGTTGGTGATGAATCATTACCCAAGTTGTCAGTAGAAGTATGAGGGCGCTTATTCATTTTGACGAACAAAAATTTGTCAACAGGGCACTTATGTTTGAAAAAAGTGCTTAAAAATATAAAAAATTAAAAAAAAATTTCACAAAAAATTATAAATAAATTGAAATTAAAAAGCAAAAACAATGTCCATAGGGAATCATAAAAATTAGAGAAAAAAGGAAATTGTATAAAATGTCATTTTGTCAAAACGCCAAAAAAACAATAAAGGAACGCCAAAAGTAAAAAATTATTTGAATAATCATGGCCATATGAGTCTGGCATTTGTAGCAAAAATATAAGTTAGAATTGATTTAATTTACGGAAATGTGTTTATCAAGAAGGGTTTTTAGGTTATTTATTAACCAAGATTTAAAACTTGTAATGGTGCTATATTCTACTGCCTCTTTAGGTAGGGAATTCCAAATTTTAATGATCCTGTTGGTAAATGAATTGTGTGTTTTATTGGTCTTATGAGGTATGTTTATAATGAATTGGTGTTTCCTACTTGGTCTTTGGTTGAAGGTAAAGAGTTCTAAGGGGTTAATGCTAGTGTGTCTAAAAACTATTTTATATAAAGTAATTAGATCAATTCTAAACCTCCTTAAATATAGTGGCTCTAAATTTAACATGTTTAATCTCCTGTCATATGGAATTTTACGTAGAATTCTACAACTCCTTAACGCTATACGCGTGTAGAATTTCTGGACGCGCTCTATATATTTTATGTTTTTCTTTAAAGAAGGGTTCCAAACAGGAGATGCATATTCTAAAAGGGGCAACACATACATCTTGAAGTAATTACCCCATATTTTTGGATTTGTAGATTTAATGTTTCGTAATAATTGTATTGATCTCAACATAGAAATGTTTCTAACATGGTTAATATGTTCTTCAAAATTTAGTTTATTATTAGTTATTACACCTAGATCCTTAACTATATCTGCCTTAGGTAATTCATTGCTATTTACATAGTAATTAAATTTCGGATTTTTATTGCCAATATGAAAGACAACGGTCTTGTCTAGAGAAATATTTAGCCCCCAAGCGGTATTCCAATCCAATAAGTTATTAATGGCATTTTGTAATAGATGACATTCTGAATCACTTTTGAAATCAAATGTAAGCTTAATATCGTCTGCGAACATGGATATGTATACATCTTTACCTATCTTAGTTACAATATCATTAACATATATTATGAATAGTAAAGGACCAATAACCGTGCCCTGGGGCACACCAGAACTAATGGAATATTCTTCAGAATGATCATTTCCTATTTTAACTTTAAATGTTCTGCCTTTTAGAAAATTTTTTATCCACCGATGGATTTTACCTCTTATACCATAGCTGTATAGTTTATTAAGTAAAAAATCTATTGGCACTGAGTCAAAAGCTTTTTTATAGTCTATGTATATGACATCAGTATTGGATTTCTCTAACAAAGATTTATACCACTTTTCCATGGTAAGTATTAATTGAGTTGTGGTGCATCTACTTGGCATAAATCCGAATTGGCAATCACTTATTATTTTATTTTTTATCAGAAAGCTTAGTATTTCTTTGGTTAATATTTTCTCAAAAATTCTGCAAATGGGAGATGTCAGAGAAATTGGCCTATAATTAGTATATTCGGTTTTTTCACCCTTTTTAAAAACAGGTGTTATGTATGATCTTTTCCATTGGCTGGGAATTTCTCCAGAATCAAGTGAGTTTCTAAAGATTTCGCACAAGATAGGGGCAAGAATGTCCTTATAGGATTTAAGTATTTTATAAGATATAAGTTCGAATGTTGAATTTTTATTAGGCAGTCTAGTTAGTTCAGTAACAACATTTATGATGTCGAAATCTATGTCATTTAATTCTTTTGTGTTGTGAAAACTAATTTCAGGGCTATCCCATGAGGGTACATTCTGAAATAATTTAGAGAAATATTGGCCAAAAATTTGGAACCGACTTTTTAATTTTGGCAGTTCCAGTTCCGGTTCTGGAACTGCTTTTTTAATATTGGCGGTTCCAGTTCCGGTTCTGGAACCGGTTCCAAACCAGTTCCAGTTCCAAAATTTTTTTAGCTATTTTAATGAAAAAAAATTTATTTTTTTAATAAATAAGGGCATATCAATGAATTAATAATGTAATCAACTGTTAACAATAAGATGTATCAATAATAGGGTTTGCCGGTTTCACGGTCTGTCGGTCTGAGGTTAGGTATAAGTAGTTTATGAGGGATTAAGGGTGGGTTCAAGGGATATCAGTGATTTAGAGGGATATTGAAGGATTAATGGTTTGAAGGGATAGAGGGGATATCAGGCATTTGAACGAATATCAGTTGAACGGATATCACTAATCAAATTCTAGTTGCAGATCCGGAGCCGAAGTAGGATATTGCTATTTAGACCAAAACTTCCCCAATTAGCGCCGCAGGCAAAAATTTTGAAAATTTTGGATGATTCTTAAGCCAAAAATCTTTCTTTTTCAGCGCCGCAGGCGAAAATTTTAAAATTTTGGGTGATCCTTAAGGAAAAAAATTTCTTTTTCAGCGCCCCATGTAAAAATTTTAAAAATTTTGGAAGATCTTTAAGCCAAAAAATTTACTAATTATTCATTTATTAAGTCCGGGTTCGAACCTAATACCCAGATAGTCATCAAAACTACGAACCCAACACACTATCCAGCCAGAAGGAAAATCTCTTTTACCCGTCTCCAGAAGGAAAATCTCTTTTACCCGTCTCAATTTTCTCTCTTTTTTTCTTACGACTCCCATCTTTTTGCTCACTTCTCTTTTTTCACCCATCATTAGGGGTGTATCTTTGGAATCGGTTCCGGAACCGGTTCTAAACCGGTTCCAGACCTTTGCCGGTTCCACGGTTCCAGTTCCAAACCGGTTCCACGCATCTATCGGTTCCACGGTTCCGGTTCCAAACCGGTTCCGGACCTTTGTCGGTTCCACGGTTCCAGTTCCAAACCGGTTCCAGACCATTACCGGTTCCACGGTTCCAGTTCCGGAACTGGAACTGGAACCGAGTCGGTTCCGGAACTGGAACTTTCCCATCACTGCCCGGTAGCTCAGTGTTAGAGCTCCTGTACATGGTGAGCGAAAGCGCCTAGCGATAAATGTTAGCAGGTCGCAGGTTCAATCCTGCCCGGTGGCTATCATAAGTATTTTTTGCCTTGATTATTATTTTGATTTTGTTGATGGTCATCATTTTCTTGATCTAATTGGTTCATTATTGCTTGTAATTCTGCATTTAATGCATTAATGTGATTTATTAAATTATTATTTTGTAAATAAAAATTGTTTAGCCATTGGAAATTATCAAATATTAACTGAAAGTTTATATTTCCCGCAGCCACTTGTTGATAAAAATTATGTCCATGGTGTTGAATTTGTAGTAACATGTTATTTAATAAATTATTCCCTTCAATTATTTGATTCAATATTAAATTTATTTGACCTTGGTGGTGAGGGTGAGGGGGGATATGAACTAAATTTTGGTTATTATTATGATGAATATTGTGTTGATGATGATGAAATAATTCTTCAAAATTATGGTAATGATTAATTAACAAATTAATAATTTCTGATTGTCTTTGATATTCATTAAAGGAATTAAAGAGAAGAATTTGTTGAGGATTATATACATGATTTCCTCCAAAGTTACAATTCACATGCAAAATAACATTTCCATCAAAAAATAAAAGTAAATTATAAATCGACGCTAATATGTTATTTAGATGGTTGTGTTGATCAATTGGACATTGAAAAGAAATTGGCTAAATAAATAGAAATATTTAAAATAAAATGTGATTCCATTTCGGCTTTAAATTTAACAACTGATTTTTGGGTAAAATTTTAAAATTCCCACTCAATAGTTACGGTCGCGGTGTGATAGGTGATAGATACCAGGGGCTATAGCTGCGTTCAAAATTGTCGAATCCGGGGCGCCCTGGTATGGTTCGATGCGCCCTGACGAGCTGAATCGAACCATGCCAGGACGTCCAGGATTCGATTTGCATTTTTTCCAATAATGGATTCGAACCCAACCCTCTGCTAAAAGATCTCAAGGTCCATCAACTTAACTACCTAACCACACACTTCTTTTGGAATCAGGGGTGTAAATTTTTCCCGTTTTCCGAGACTAAAACACCGAGATAGAGACCGAAACGTTCAAAACCCCGAGAAATTTCTCGACACGGAAACCGAGACTCTCGAGCAGGACTACGATCTAGCATCTTCAGTTGATCTGACCGATGTGTTATCCATTACACACGTGCCTCCTGCATAAATTCAGGAATTAAATATCTATATGCTTTACAATATTTTTAAGTGTCCCTACTTACAATATATTGAACTGGATGTGCATTATGGATTCTATAATGTAATTGAAGTTGCATGAATTGACCTAATCCACAACGACTTTCTGACAGACTCGGGCATGTTCTTTGAAAACCAATAGGAAAATAAGCATGTAAATCTTGGTTTTGTACATGTTGATTATCACAGGTAATTTTCTTAAATTCAAAAAAATGCCCTTGTTCCTCAATATTAAATCGTAATAAAAAAGAATTAGTTAAATTAAATAATAGAATAATTGTAGATAATAATATAATGAATAACATATTTAGATAATAATTTTGTATATTTCCTTAAAAAATAATTTTTTGTTAATTCAAATAATTTTGAAGAAGCATTTTAACATTAAACTAACATTAATTTAAATATTATAATTTTTTAAATTTTTAATTATACATACATATATTTAACTAAATTTAAAAGAATTATTGAAAAATTATTTTAATTTAAAAATTAAAAATTAAATAATTTTAAATAAATAAATTTTATTGAATAACAAATTTTAAATAATTTTGTAGTTTGTCTGTTTACAAGATTTTGGCAATAATTTCTCGGCGAAAGACTTTGATTTTAATTTTTCTGTAACGTGACGATTTAATAAAAATAAATTTTTTATTTTAGCCTGGGAGGGAGGGGGGGGGGGGAGAGGGACGAAGGGAGTGGGGAGGGAGGGAAGGATAGAGGCATATGTCGGGCCATAAAATGCCGTGCCAGACATACAATATTTATTTTGTAATTCTCTGCTATTTAAAAATCTGTCTGGGAGTAAAAAAGTCTAAAAAAAGTAAATATTGTTAAATATATTTAATTAATTTTATAATAATTTATAAAATAAAATTCAAAAACAAGTCTATATTGTCTGGGCATCGTTTTTCACAAAAAATCATCCGAGCTAAAATTGATTTCTTCGGTTTAAGCCAATTTAAAATATTACCTTAAATATATTAATAAATAATTGATAAATATTAAAGTGCCTATTTAATAGATTGTGAAGATTACTTGGTGGGATAAAGAGGAGTTTTTTATCTAATAAAATACGATAGATTTTTTGTGGATTGTTATGATGCTTTAAACAAGAATTTCTGGCGCCTGATAATATAACTATAAGATTTTAAAGCATTACAAATATTTTTTATCTATACATATTTTCTGAATTTAGTCTACAAACTTAACAAGGAATACTAAAATAATTTTTTCCGCCACAAACCCCGAAAATATAATTTAAATTTTAAATATTAACACATTAAAATTAAAAAAATCAGCAAAAATTATTATAGAATATTTTCTTATTCCATTTATATACCTATTTCAAGTTTTGGATTTAAAATAAAATTTTATATAATTATAAAAATTTAATTAAAATATTTTAATTATTAAAAATTAAATTCCACTCCTTTTTTTATTTCTTTAAATTATTTTCTTCATTATATTTTTCATCTTCAATTTCTGTTTCTTCAAATTCTAAATTTTTATTTAAATTATTATTTTCATTAATTTCTTCTAAATTATTATCATTAGTAACCAAGTTGTCTTCATTTATTTCTTCTTTTTCATCATTTTCTGTTTTACAGGTAGAAGAAGATTCGGCACAATTTTCTTCTTAGAAAAAGAAAAATTATTTTTCAGTGAATAAAAAATTTATTTATTTATTTTTTAATGACTAAAATAATTACTTGAAAGTAATTAGTATTGTTTCGAGCTTTTTTATAGAAGGAGAATAATAATAAAAATAATTACCGTATATCCTTTAATAACTACTCTGGGTAACTATAGTTTCGATCTTTCCGCTGGAGGGAGTAATTAATCGAGGGAGGGTAATTATACGAGGTTTGAAATTTGAACGTGATTTAGGGCATTTGTTTGGGGTTAATTATTGTTTCAATCTATCACTGGATGGGGTAATTAATGGAAGTGAGGTAATTATTTGAGAGAGGGCAATTAATACATGTTATACGGTAAATTAGAAAATAATTAAATTAATAATAAATATTTATTTTACCTAATTTTGTTTGTTTTTGTAAATTTCTCATCTGCATAATTGTTTGTAACAAATTTGGATTCATTAATAAAAAATTTGGCGGAAAATTATTTAATGGATTTAATAATTTTGTTTGAATATTATTCAATTGTTTTTGAAATAAATTATTTGAAAATATATTTGGTGGTGAATTTACTTTAAAATTAGAAATTAAATAATTTTTAAGGGTTAGAAAAAAGTTGGAGAATTTGAGATGATTTTTATAAATAGTCATGATTTCTAAGAGAAAGCTCTGGGAAATGTTTGAAGACAATCTTTTCTAAAAATCATTCTTCAGTATGTTTTCTTCGCTTGATTGATAATTTTCCAAAAATGTTCGAAATGATATAGTATTTTCTATATTGATAAATATTCATATTAAAAATTAAAAAAAATTTCCAAAAATTATTTCCATCTAAAAATAATTTCCAAAATTTTCTTTTAAATAATTACCAAAACAATTTTTTAAAGATGTTGCTTGCATATTTAAAAGAGGGGGGAAAATTGGTGAAATATTATTAAAAGATTCCTTAGAAAATAGTGTATTATTAGAGGTTGTTGATGTTGAATTATTACACGATTCTTGATTTATTTTAAAAATTCCTTTTAAAGTTAAAAGTTCTGATTTGTTGACACAATTCTAAAAATATTTTTTTAAATTAAATTTTAAAATTTCTACTAAATTACTTTAAGATCTTCAGGTATAGAGCCAGTTAATGCTCTTCTAACTTCTTGTGCTGCAGCAACCCTTAACTCATTGTGTGATTCTTGGCAATACCAACCAATTTTTGGAGTAGATATTACATTGGGCAGTGAACAAAGAGTATCTTTTTATAAAATTATATTTTAGTATGATTATTATTATAAACAGAAAATCTTTATTATTCACTCATTATTATTTTTTATTTCATTATGTGCTTTATTATATTTTAATATAAAATATGGAATGTGTCGCATATGGGATGGTTCTTCATACGTTCAGCATTCGCTGAACCATCCGGTGCTACCAGTAAAGTATCTCGACTATAGCATAGCTATTTCTCCTCTTAAGCTAGAGCAAAAGGTTAATCGGCGGGATGCGAACTAGCATTTTTAGTAGACCGGACTGATGTGTTATGCATTACACCACGCACAGCCTTAGGAATTAAATAGCTTTATGCTTTACATTATTTTTTAGACATTCGCAATTTTAAATTATCATAATTTACTCATTAAATAATTAATTTTTACCATAATTTTCTCTTTCAAAAATATTTTTAGGTTGATCACAATCCATTGCAAAGCTCCGAATATTTCCACTTTTTAATGCGGAAATTAAAGAATTAGATTCTATTAAATCAAATTCTGTAGTATTTACAAGGAAAGCTCCAAATTTTAAATATTTAATTGTTTCCTTTAAAAAATTAAATTAATTTAATTTTATAATTAATTTTAACTAAATTAATTAAATGTTTATTTTCTGAAGTTAAAGGGCAATGAAGTGTTAGACAATCTGATTGACTAAATAATTCTGTTAAATTTGAACATCTTTCCATTCCAAGGGCATTTTCCATACCTAAAAAAATTTAATAAAAATGGAAAAAAGTTTAAATTAAGATATAAAATTTTTTTGGAATATTGGCAAGTCTTGATTAATAGAAAGTTTTCTTGTTAATTAAAAGGTAAGTAAATAGAAAGAGTTTATCAAAAGTTCAGCCACCGGGCAGGATTGAACCTGCGATCTCCTGACAGTTATTGCTAGGCGCTTTTGCTCACCACATACAGGAGCTCTACCACTGACAAATGAGTTAACGTGACATCGACTAATGCTTCTCTTTTCCCTTTTTTGATCGTTTAACCCTCAACTAAGCGTTTTTAGGTGAATCATCTTTACTAAATCTTGGCCTGCCGTTATTCTAAAAATTTAATTTACCCAAAGCAAAATTATTGTCATAAAAAAGCACTCGAAACCCAAAAGATTTGGCACGAAGAGCCTAAAATTACTCAAAATTCAAAAATATTTTTATTTAAATTATTTACAACGGCAATTCCAACACTTCCCATTCCAACAATTCCTAAAGTACTTCCTCTAATTCTTTGAGATCCATTCATTAATTCACTTATTTGGTCAATATTTATTGTCTAAAATTAAATTTAAAAATATGGTACTCTTGTGTTATCTCACCCCATTTTATTTTGCTTCTCCTTTCTTTTCCTTTCTCCATAAAAAGCATACAGGAATCCGATTAAGATATTGTTAACTAGCTCTTGGTTTTTTAGGTACCAGCTCTGGCTTTTTAAGGACCAATGTCCATTATTGTGCTTGTGTGTGGTAACTATGGATGAATAGGGCCCTCTATTTTCTTAAAATATTTTGGTAATACAGTGAGCGGATTGCAAATAGAAGTACTGGTACAAATACCAACGTTGAGATTGGATCTCTAATTTCAAAACATGGTAACTCACGACCAGAGATTTAATTTGACCAATGTGCATTTTTTGAGAAATAAGAATGAAAGGGGAAGAAAAATAAAATGGGGGGAGATAACACAAGAGTACCAAAAATATTTTAATAAAATAAAAAAAACTTTTTTGCCATTTTGAAGAAAATTACAAAGAGAAAATGTTTTTCGAAATAAATTAAGAATTAATGAAATAGCTGAATCTGCATTTTCTTCTACACATTCAACAGGTGTATGGCATATAGCTATTCCTATAAATACATATATTATAGTAGTTTAAAAGTAAGGTAATAATCCAAACAGATTTTTACGCACTCCTCTCGCTGGAGGGGGTAACTAATCGAGGGGAGATACTAGATGTGGATGTACATATTTCAATAAATCGAGGATGAAATAGACTTTATTTTATGTAAAATTTTTTAACAATAATTTTATGAAAAAATTGACTAAACTGACAATGATTTTTTCAATATTTTTATAATTTGTGTAGCAGGAAAATAAGGGGCAATTATTAAAGAGAATAATTATTCGAGAATATGCGGTAACCAATATGTATTAGGTAAATTATTTAAAATTACCCAATTCTGTAGCAGCATTAATATCAATATTATTATAGCCTGGACCAATTCTAATTACCGCTTTTAATGATTTAAATTTGTTAAATTCTTCACGTCCTAAACTAATAGACTGATAAAGAAGAGCAACTGTAGCTTCATTTAATACCTTTTAATTATATTTATTAATTAATTAAAAAGTACTTTTTAGGCATTTTAATAGGATAATAAAAATATTTTTTCACTCTCCTACAAGAGAAAAAGCATTTTTACTTTTTAATAAATTATTTTTTAAAATCAAGCTCTACTAATTTTCACCTTCTCGTGAATATCATTAATTGACTGGGCATCACAAAAAGCTACAGTAGCTACATCCTTTAAAAAATTTTTTATTTTTTAACTAAGAAATCCTCAAAAACACCTTTAATAAAGGCATTTCCACAGAACAGTCGCGGCCGTCAAGTAATGCCACAAGGGGCTTTTGAATATTATTTAGAGGTAATTGCTTTGTTGGTAAGTTATTTGTTAGAATATTTGTTTGTGTAATTGGACTTTTATTTGATAATAAAGGAATTTGGGGAGGTTGAGGAAGTTGTTGGACTTGATTATTTACTTTAAAAAATAAATTTTTATAAATTAATTTTCTAAATAAAAATACCTCCAAAAATAGAATTAAATAGCATTAATTTGTTGGGAAATGAAGGTAATAAATTGTTGAATTGAGGAAAGGGATGATTTTTTAAAGAATTTTTTTCTTCATTATCACTACTATTAAATAGAGTAGAATTTAAATGTCCAAAATTTAAATGAGAATTAAATGAAGGCTTCCGAATAATTCTTTGATTAAAAGGTAATCCAAAATGTGTTCGGTAGCCCCGTCTAGAATGACGTGAAATTGAAGAATTTTGGTTTAAGGTTGAAGTAGAGGATGAAGAACGTTGAGAATTTATTAATAAAGAAGGGGAAGAAATTGTGGTTAGAATATTAGTTGAAGGGGGAGCAGAAGAAAGAGCTTAAAAATAATTAGTAATTATGAATTATATTTGGAATTAAAAATAATTATTTTTAATATATTATATAAAAGTTTTGGAAAAAAATTTAGAAGTCCTTACAGAGTTGAGATAATGGGCTGAAAGTTTTACATGTCCGGGGTCAAATTTTATGGGGCATATGGGAAAAATACGGACGGAAAATTTTTTTACCCCCTTGGTACCTAAATAATACAGGTGCCGGGGCTATCTCGGGAATGGGTGGGGTTAGAAGAAAATTTCTGCTGGTAGGATTTTAAGTTGGAACCAACTAATATATGTAGGAAGAAATTCGAAGTCGAAATTCGAATTGTAAGGGTACTTATGCTTGACACCAAATTCAGACATTTTCGGTGAATTGCAGGTTTTGTCGGACTTGAAAATTCGCGTTTTTTAAAAATAACTCGAAAATGGATAAAGATGGCGAAAAATTTCTGCTGGTAGGATTTTAAGTTGGGATAGGTAGATATATGTAGGAAAAATTTCAAAGTCGGAAGTCGAACTTCAGGGGTACTTATGCTTGACACAAAATTCTGGTAAGAAAACTGTCCGACAGAAAAATGTCGGATTTCTTCAGTGAGGAAAGCCAGGGGGCAAATCTTATAGGTGAGAGAGAAATTTTGATGGACAAGTGAAATTTCGATTTCAAAAAGTGGGATTTCGAAACCTAAGCAAGTTTCGAGTTGAGGGAGGTTAAGTTGATTAGGGATCCGGGATTTCGGGATTTTTAGGGATTTAAGAATATGGTCGAATGAGTAGTCATTCGAAAGCGGATAATGAGGGGAGTTGAATGGGATATATGATAAAGCCGAAAGTCGAACTTCGAAATCCGTGATTTTCGGGATTTGTGGATAAGGGCAAGTGGGTAGACATTCAAGAGGGGATAATGAGGGGAGTTGAATGGGATAAGGTATAAGGTCGAAAGTCGAAGTTTGAAAGTCAAAATTCGAACTTCGAACCCAGATGACGAAGTTGGAACTACAAAGTTATAATTTTCGTTATAAATTTTTATCTCACCGAACTCCACTAATTATCCCCTCTTGAATGAATACTCATATCCCATACTTCCCAAGCACGAAATTTTGAAGTTCTAACTCCGAACTTTGATTTTTGCCTCTATTATTTATCCCTTTGATATCCCCTCATTATCCCTTTTGAATGAATACAAGCACACCAATAGTTCCTGAGCCCGAAAATCCAGTATTTCGAAGTTGAAGCAAATTTTGCTTAAACTTTAAAAGTTTTCAAAGTTTTCAAGTTCAAAGTTTTCAAAGTTCTGCTTCAAATTTAAGATTTTGCTTTTGAAACATTATTTGCTTCAACTTTGCTTCAAAGTTAAAACGACAACCTTTGCTTCAAAGATTAAACAAATTTTGCTTAAAAGAAATTTCAAATTTAAAGCAAAACTTGCTTCAACTTTAAAAATTATTTTTGTAGGAATGGGAATGACTCCTTTACATAAAGCTCTTCTATATGGACAAACAATTACTGTAAAATAACTACAAAAATATTTTTTTAATGAAAAATCTTTTTTAGGTTCGATTTATGTTAACAAAATACCCTAATTGTGTTAACGATCCAGATCATGTTTGTTAAATATTTTTTTGATTTTTTAAAAATAAAAAAATTTCTAGGCAGACAGAACAGCTTTAAATTTTGCTTCTGCAGATGTTAATGGAGAACATATGATAAAAGTTTTACAAAAAGCTTGGGCCGATGCTTTTATTGTAGATAAATATGGACATACACCTTTTTATTATCGAACACATTGAAAAAGATTAATTTTAAGAACACTCAAAGATAATACTGTAAGTTTTTGAAAGAAAATGAAAAGAATTTTTAGTTGAATTAATTTTCGGACCGTTTTTGAAAAAAATTTTTTTAATTAAATTTAATTTTCAAAGATGAAAAAAATAATTAAATTTATTTTTATATCTTTTCGATGTGCAATTTAATAAAAATAATAGCTTTTTGATCTAACAAGTTAGACAAAGTTATGATCGTTTATTTTAGCTCCTTACCTATTGCATCCGTGGAGTTTTTGCTGCTGCGGGGTAAGCCTGGCATGACCATGTCATCGATGATAAGAATAGGATTAAGTTACGAGCCCAGAACCCAGCGACCGTTGACTCCCCGCGAGGCGCGTGCCGCAAAACCCCGCGCGAAGCGCGGGGTTTTGCACAAGCGCCTCGCCTACTCTCCATAGGTTTACGTTGGCTATTTTGATAAAAATTTGCCCATCGAAAAGATATTAAAATAAATCTAAATATTTAATTCTTTTGGAAATTTAATTTAATTTAAAAAAATTTTTTTTCCCAAAATATAGAACAGGGAAATTTACGTGATATAAAATTATTAACTGACAGAAAGAAATTAGCTTTTTGTAGAGATAGTAAAGGACTTGACCTTTAAATAAAGCCGTGTTTTTTGACAAACAGAAAAGTTTGAAACAAAAAAAAAATTTTTTTAATTTATTTTTTAATTTAAAAGAATTTAATTCGTAATTACCCACAATCTGTTAACTCAATAGATAAAAGTAGAAGAACTCCTTTACATTATTCTGCGGCTTTAAGAGATGGGGGTTATATGTATAAATTAATGAGGCGGGTTTTCTTGCAAAATTAAGTAGGTCCGAGTTATGGCCGTTCAAAGTTGGTTAAGACAAAACCCCGTCCCGATTTTTTTCTCAATTCTTTCATTCCCAATTTTACAAATTTGATTTTCTGTTTTCCATTTTTAATTTCTTTAATATTTTCTATGCAAAAATCAAAAATAAAAATAAAGGATTAAATTGTAATGAGAAACAATATTAAGAGGCAAAAGGTCAAATTTGAATTTTCTTCCCTTATCAAGTTTTGAATAAGAGTAGGGAAGAAAATTCAAATTTGACCTTTTGCCTCTTAATTTCTCATTTTCATTTACTTCTTTATTTAATGTTAATTTTTTGCTGTATGTACCTAATTTTAATTTTTTCCGATTTTTATTTTCAAACCTTATTTTCAAAGTTTTCCTTTTTAAAAATCATTTTAAAAAACATTGAAAATTTACTTAATTTCTAAATTTTATTGTATATTTAAAAGTTTGAAAGTCGCCTTTTCCCTATATAATTTTTACTATTTTTTCCTTATTTTATGGCAAAATATTTATTCGAAAGTTCCCTTCGAGCTGAGTCGAATGTCATTAAAATTAACGAAATCTACTATCTTGTATAATCGAATTTTTCACCCTAAAATCTGCTTGGTCCCCCCTATGCTTTTATGAATTTATTGACAAATATATGGAGGTGGGTTAAAATCCAGTGAGGTGGGATTTTTGTTCAGTTTTTGATTTTTGACTCGGTTCGTCGTTTGTTTTGTTTTCCCGTTAAAATTTTTGAAAAATATTTTTTGTAATTTATGAAAATTTTTTTCTAAATTTATGAAAATTTGGTTCTGTTTTATTGGTTTTACGGACAAAGATGGGGTTTTTAAGGGGTAGAGGGGTCCCTTCACCAGTTATAGCTAAGGACTGAACTGAGCCGGAACATAAATGAATTGCTCCGACTTCTCCATTCTTTTTTTTCTTTCCTTCTATTAAAATTTTTTCCTTCTATTTTTCCTCACGCCTCTTAAGGGGTTGGGGTCATAAGGGCGCGGGGCCATTAGGGCGCCAGCACTAGAAACTGACATTTAGGCGAAACCGAAATTTATGAAAATTTTCTCAAATTTCTTTAACATCATTGACTACTTCCTCCAGAAATTTCAGAATTTTTTATCGAATATTTCTGAAGTTATAGTCGATAAACCGCGAAAAATTAGGGTTTTTCTCGGAAAATCAAAATTTTTGGCCACAATTTCCTAAATTCTTGATTAAAAATTCTGAAATTTTTGGAGAACGTGAGAGTTATTATTGCAAAATTTTATCTTTTTTGATAAGCAACTCACTGTTTTATAAGCTCGCGCCCTAATGGCCCCGCCCCTAATGGTCCAGTCTCCTCTTAAGTTTTAATTTTACTGACCATAACTCTGCCCAGTCATCCTGCAAGTAAACTGATATTACCTAGCAATATAAAGTCGCTGTCCTCTACCGAATGGTTTTATTTAAAACAATCATTACTTTTATAGATAAAATTTAGCCTTTAAATTTTAAAAATGCCTTCCAAACAACAAATGAAGCGTGAAAAAAGAATGGTACAACAACGCAGCGCAAAGGATCTAAAGAGTCCTTTTGAGGACTATCAGGTCAATCCTGATTCAACTGCGGTGATATTGCGCGGCGAAGAAGTTCCGGTATAAGTTATAAATACAAAGTAAAATTGAACTTCATTCGCCTCTTTTTCTTCACAATCTAGGGATTGAAACATTTTTATAGGATTCTATATTATTGTTTCTACAACATTTTTAGTCAGACTTTTTTAATAATTTTAGGGAAATCGGGGACAATGAAGTTCAATTTCACCTAATACAGTTGAACCTCATTTACCCCCCCCCCCCCCAAGAGTGTACAATAAAACATATCAAAATTTAAAGTTTCCGTTTAAGTCACATTGGTATTTAGGCAAAAGTGAATCGTGTATTGAGTTATAGGGAATCTATTGTTTACTTAGTTTTTTAAGTGAGGTTCGGCTGTCAAAAACCGTTCAAATGAAATATATATTTTCAAATACTTATGTAGTAGTTAAACCATACCGTTTTCTTGGGCAATTTGTTTTGTTAAACTTAATTATTTTCTAAAATAAAAATTTTTTCATTTCTAAATTATAACATAATTATAGGACTTTGGACACGCAGGATCCTCTGGTAATGTTTTTAGTGTTTCACAATTAGGGTTGAGTGTGTCCTCTATGGATGTTGCTGCCACAACATCTAGAAATGACTCCCCTTTTTTGTCCGCTATGGGTGGTTCTCCTTCAACCTCAAATGATTCTCCCTTTTTGTCCTCAAGAACAATGATTCGATCTGATTGTCCAGAAAAAGTTAGTAGATTTGATGAGTCTAACGTTAGTTGTCTTGACGATGAGTCCATTGTTAGTCTTGACATTGATTCTGATTCCTCTTGTGCTTTACCAATCTGTAGTTCTTCTAAAAGGGGTCGGGGTCGTCCAAGAAAAATAACTCGTAAAGGTGCCGGAAGACCTAGAAAAGTATCTATTTGTGACTCTGTTCCTGATGAATATGTAATTATTAATGATGAACCAATTATATTTTTAGCCCCTGATCCTCCAGATATGCTTGTTCGTCAATCTGTGCCTGTTCGTCAATCTGAACGCATTAAAAATCGTCTCTCTTCTAAGAAAAATCCTATTACCGATAATAATAAGTGCCTCAGCACGCATGAAGGGTTTCCTTGTGCTGATACTAGAGCTCGCCATACAGCAGAGTATTATGACTCTGGAGACATTGGCAAATTTGAATGTCATTATTGTAAAGCACTTTTATTAGAATCTGAAATTAATCAAAGTCATAAATCTAAGTTTAAAGTTATCACGTCTTCACTTTGTTGTAGCTGTGGAACAGTTACTCTTCCTCCCTATACTGAACATCCTAATGAATTGAAGGTTTTATTAAAAGGCGATACTAAAGCATCTAAAGAGTTCCTTTCAAACCACAATACTTATAACACATTGTTAGCTTTCGCTTCAGTGTCCGTTGGTCATAAGGACTCATCTCATTACGGGAGTGTGTGCTTTAATCTAAACGGCGAATTTTCCCGACATATAAGTTCAATGAATTCTGGACATTTAACACCATCATTTTCACAATTATATATCTTAGATGCGAATGAAGCACTTAATTTACGAACCCAAAATACTCTCTGTGGAGGAGATAGAGTTAATCCACAAACATTAAAAATTTTAGATTCTGTTTTGAGAAATATAAACCCATTTGCAAAAGTATATAAAAATTTTCATTCCCAATATATGTCTGTTCTTGAAAAGGATGGGAAAGATGCAGTCAGGAACTTTCGCCTTACTATCATAGAAGAAAGAGCTGCTCCTGCCATAATTAGAGGTAAAGGATTACATCCACGACAGGTTAATCTACCTCAAGAAAAAGCCATGTTTTCAGTTTGGACAGAGTCCTCTGAGCCACCAAAAATTAAAGGAACATATATAACTGATCTTCAAGGATGTTTATTTGAGGTCAAACCATATAATGCTCGGGTTGATTCACTTACTTATCCCCTGCTTTTTCCATACGGTGATGATGGATATCATACTAAGATTCCATTTAACCCTAATAGTCCTAAGTATGCAAATATATCTTCTAATAATACTATAAATGATGATGAAGACATAACTAATGAAAAAACCGATGATGAATTGGAAATTGATATAGAACCTAAGAAAACAATTTCTTATAGAAAATATATTCGTTACCGACTTGCAATTCGTCGAACTGATTCGCCCCATAATATTTGGAGTGCAGGAGGTGGCTTAAGCCAGAAATTTGTACTAGATTACGCAGCACGTATTGATGCCCAAGTGGCCGACTATTTGCGTCAACCCGAATTTAATCTCCTTAAAACCACAGCACCTGATGTTCTCGACCACATGAGAAGGGATGGTGATCTACAACCAAACAGTAAAATAGGCAGCGTTGTATTGTTTCGCAAATATCATCCTGGAACCCGTCCATACTTTCAGGATATGTTTTATGATGCAACTACTATTATGGCCCGAACTCGTAGGCCTGGACTTGCATCTTTCATGTTTACATTTACTACCAATCCATACTGGCCCGAGATTTCCCGTAATTTCTTTCATAAAGGCCAAAAAATAGTCGACCGATTTGATATTTTATGCCGTATATATGCAGATAAGTTGCGCAAACTCCACTTTCTCCTCAATAAAAAACATATATTTGGTAAAATACTCGGTTATGCCGAAAGTATGGAATTTCAAAAAAGAATTGGGGGCCCACATTTACACAGAGTTTTCTGTGTTGATACCGAAGCAACACCAGAAAATATCGATGGCCTAATTTGGGCACACATTCCAGAAAAACCCGCTGATTCCGATAAATCTGCATGGGCAAATTTTATTAGAAAAGTTCTCGAACTTCTACCCAAGTTCCAGATTCATGATTGTGGTGAGCACTGCAAAGGCAGTAATGGACGTTGCTTAAAAGGATTTCCCAAACCTTATAGCCGCACGACCATTCTTCATGCTAACAAGCCAGCAGAATACAAACGTCCAAGTCCCGAAGATGGCGGCCAAACTCTAACATTAAAATATGGATCAACCGATACCACATATACTAATTCAAGAATTGTACCGTATAATCCTTTAATCCTTGTAATGTTTGAGTGCCACCATAATTTGGAATATGCATACGGACAATCTGATAATTTGAAATATGCCTTGAAATACCCTTTCAAGGGTCCAAGTTTTTCCTACATTAAATGCCAGGACGGTACTGTAAGTATAGATGAGCCAGCCCAATATGCGCGTATGCTTTACAGAAGTCCGCCAGAAGCTCATTGTCGTATATATTCTCAAAGATACGCTTATCTTTCTCATACTGTAATTCCTCTAAGTATTCATTTACCTGGTAAACAAAATATTTATTTTAAAGATGCAGAAAAATTAAATAATGCGGCAAACGGCATTCTCCCAGAAACCCATTTAACACAATATTGGAAAATGTGGAAAAATAATGAAATTGATAAGAATATCCTTTATGAGAATATGCCTGAAACATATTCTTGGAATGACCATGATAAAATCTGGAAGCCAAGAAAATTTTCTACCCGTAAGAAAAATATAGAAAACCGCAAAATAACTATTGGCAGAATCTATACTGTTTCTCCTCGCGAGCCAGAAAGGTTTGCTCTTTATGTCCTTATGAGACATTTCCCAGGTGATCCAGACCATCTTAAAAATATTAATGGAACCTTTTGCGATACCTTTGCAGATGCAGCTCGTATGCGCGGTCTTTTCGAAGATAATTCTGTCTGGGAAAAAACTCTGAAGGAGGCTTCTAACTCCCTTCTCCCTTCACAGATGCGTTCATTATTTGTTAATATTCTTATCCATGGTTCTACACAAAACTGTGTAATAGATTCCTTGTCATTATGGGAAATGTTTAAAGAACATATGATTGATAAAAGGAATTGTACTGACGCAGTAAAACTGCGCCGAATTGATAGAGCATTAGCTATAATTGAAAGATATCTTTTTGCGAATGGCAAGCAAATGAAGGATTATAGACTTCCCCTTCCTTCTAATTCTTTAACTGATGATCCCAATAAAGCTGTTGATGAATTCTTTTTTCCCCAGCATTTAAACGATGATGATGTTGATGAGACCGTTGATACATCCTTTGAAAAAGCGAAGTTAAATCATGAACAGGAAAATTTCTATAAATTAGTCCTTGATGCAGTAATGGATCCAAATTCTAAAAATCGTTTGTTCTTCCTCTCCGGCGACGGAGGAACTGGAAAAACATTTTTATTGAACTTCCTTCTATTTAACTTACGTCGATTAGGAAATAAAGTCCTTGCTACCGCCTCAACTGGTATTGCATCTACTAAATTTTATGCAGGTGGAATGACTTTACATTCTGCATTTAGACTTGGTATTAATCATGAGCCTGACCAAATTCCTTCTATTCCAGTCCAAAGTTATTTTGGTCGTCGTATAATTGAAAGTAACCTTATAATTGTCGATGAAATTACCATGCTTGAAAAGACTGTTCTTGAAAATGTCGATAAACTCTGCCGTATAATGGTACCCAAAAATCAGCATTTGCCTTTTGCAGGAAAGGTTGTTATCATTTCCGGTGATTGGAAACAATCGCTTCCTGTTGTTAAAAATTCCCGTTCACCCGAAGCTCAAGTGGCAGTTTGCCTTCAGATCTCCAATCTTTATCCTATGTTTCATAAGACTCGTCTTACACAGAATATGCGTCTACAGCCATCTGAGATACAGTTTAAAGAGTGGCTATATAAACTCGGCACAGATACATCCGGTGATAAAATTCCTATCCCCAAGTCTATGATTGTTGAATCAAGAGAAGAATTGATCGAATTTGTTTTCGATAAAGGCTTTGACATTCCAAGTTCCGATATGCTTAAGAGACTTATGCTCACCCCTTTAAATAGATCTGTTGATCTAAATAATTCAATAGTCCTGTCTTCCTTTAATACTGAATCTATGGACTATTATTCCGTTGATAAGTGCACCAATGAAAATCCACTTTCTCCTTATGCTGCTGACTCTGACGTAGCAGGGCTTAATAAACTTACCCCAGCTGGCATACCAGCCCACCATTTACACCTTAAAGTCGGTTCGATTATTGTCCTACTTAGAAATCTTAATACAAGTAAATCATTATGTAATGGTACACGTCTTATTGTCAAAAAACTTCAAACGAATTTAATTTCAGCCGAAACCATTTGTGGTTCCAATACTGGTATGACAATTGGAATTTCTCGTGTCTGTAATTCCTATGTTGATGAAAGACCAGACGGTGTTAGCTTCGAACGTTTTCAATTCCCTGTTCGTGAAGCTTTTGCAATGACCATTACTAAGGCTCAAGGCCAAACCTGTGAAAGACTTGGAATTGATCTTTCAGACGAGCCCTTTGCTCATGGGCAACTATATACAGCATTATCACGTGCTACAAATAGTAAATTCATTCGAGTATTCGCCCCTAATAAACCCAAAGATAAAGATGGAAATGTCCTCATTAATAATGTTGTTGCTCGCGGTCTTACCTTTGATTAATCTGTATTGTGAAATTTTAAATAATTTTTTGAAATAATAAATCCCCTAATTAAACACTCAACCCTAAGTTTTTTTTTATTTACGGCGATGATTCCCCTTTTGTGTTTAGGGATGTACCGCCTTCTTATTTTTGGTGATGATTCCCCTTTTGAGTTAAGGGACGTACCACCTTCCTTTCCTTATTTTTTGGTGATGATTCCCCTTTCGTGTTAAGGGACGTACCACTTTCCTCTCCTTATCTTATGGTGATGATTCCCCTTTCGTGTTAAGGGACGTACCACCTTCTTCTCACTTAAGGGTTCTAATTCACCTCATTCATTATTCCAGTCGATGATTCTCTTTCGCGTTAAGAGCTGGTCTCCCCTCCCTTTCGTGTTAAGGGTTGTAATCCCCCTCCCTTTCGTGTTAAGGGTTGTAATCCCCTCCCTTTCGTGTTAAGGGTTGTAATTCCCCTCCCTTTCGTGTTAAGGGTTGTAACTACTTCCTTCCTTTTTTGTTTAGTGTATTAACTCCCCTCCCTTTAAAGCTAAGGGTTGTAATCCCCTCCCTTTCGTGTTAAGGGTTGTAATCCCCCTCCCTTTCGTGTTAAGGGTTGTAACTCCTCCCCTCCCTTTCGTGTTAAGGGTTGTAATTCCCCTCCCTTTCGTGTTAAGGGTTGTAAATTTCTTTTAAATATAAATATTAGCCACTATCCCCCCTTGCCACTGCCCCCCTCTTCTCCGTCCCCCCTCCCCAGGAGTACAGGGTTTGCCCGTTTACCACCGTGCACCTCCACGTGGTGTACTCTGGGCATTGTTTTACTTTTGTAAAACAATGGCTAAGCACGGTACAAACGGGAGTCAAAATTTTTATTAAATAAAAAAATTTTTTATGAAAAGTTAAATAATAATTTTTTCAAATTAAAAAATAAAATTAAATAATTAAATAATAAACTTAAAACATATAAAAATCTTTAAATAAATTGAACCAGGCATAAAAAATCGCTAGCAGCGCGCGAAGCGCGCCCCCAAAGCCGTTAGGCTTTCCAACGGGCAAAAGTATCGTAACCTAAAGAACCCCCCGATGTATTTTACTGCCACAGTATCGTAATAGGCACCCCAGTGGTCAAACCCATCGCTAGTTAACAATAAAATATTAATTTTCTACCTTTTAGTCTCGATTTTCTCTCAGCCGTTCTCGATTCCTTAGGCGGTAATTCAATAAATTTTGGTGTATCAATCTACAAATTTAAATTATAATTAAATATTTATTTATTTACTTGTGGATCAGCTACAGGAATATCCCCCTCATGCTTTTCTCCACCAAAAAAGTGTGCAGAACAAATTCTTAACTAAAAAATATTTTATGATAATTAACCAAAATTATTTATTAAAAAATTAATTATTCTTAATTTTAAATATTTTTAAATTATCTATCAATTTATTTTTTATTTATTTTATTTCCTAGCCTGGCTAACGACTGTTTCTTCATTCCTTCCAATGGCATTTAACCAAGCCTGGCGCAAAACGGCAGGCCTTTTGGGTATACGGTAAAAGTGGCGATTGTCTTCTTGGCCGCGATATCTTTTATAAAAACAAATTTAAAGGAAACAAAGGGAAATTATTTAAAAAAATATTTCTAGTTTCCTCACCTTGATCGAAATTTACAGTTTGGATAACCTTTAAAATAAAATTGTTTATATTCTTATTATTATAATTTAATTTTGTTTTTTAATTATGGATTCGTGTACCTTTAGTGTTCATTTTGAATTTAAATAAAATACAAAATTATGTTAGTTTTTTTAACATTATGATTGGTTAAAATTTTAAATTGATGATGTTTCTTAAATTATTTAAAAAGAAAAAATGATGAATTTAGTGAGGAAAAAGTTAAGTAAAGGATTCAACCAAAACCGCAAAATTGGATGTTAGCCTGATTGTGGGGACAGCTGTCTCTAAACTTTTTATTGCCAAATAATATTTTCCATTTAAGAAAGTAAATTAAGGCGACCCTTCACCTTCACTCAAAACTTTTTTTAAAAAATTTTGGTTTCAAAGTTTAAGTTGGTTTTTGGGGGATTGGTTTTCGGTTTCAACATTTCTTGTGGAAGAAACCGAAGAAAAATGATTGATGATTGACAGAGAGGATTTTTTAGGTAAAAAGGCAGTTGCCAGACGAGAAGAATAAATAAGGAGGTATAGATAACTTAATATTTTTATGGAGGTTGTGGTTAAGTTAGATAATCCAAAAAACATTTGTTTATTATTTTAAATGGGTGATTGGTTGAGTTGAGCCCAAAGATCGTTGAAATTTTTTGAATAAAGGCAAAGGATTTAAAGAAATATTTTGTAAATGGATATAGGTAATCGAGTTAAAATTTTATTTTTGATGAAAGATGAGAGGAAGTGAATGGACCTTGAATTTTAAAGAACCTAGATGGGTAAGCATACCCAAAAATATTGTATAAAAATATTAAAAACCTAAGAAAATAAAGTTAATTTTCGAGTAAATTTTGCTATAAATAATAAACAAATAGTTTAGCCGTTTCCTTCAATTTTTAAAAGATTTTAATTCAAAATTTCTAAAAACATTTTTTACTTGAGTGCCGACACCAAATTGAAATTTAGCAGAAAAAAGCAAATAAGTGGGTGGATATACACCGTCTTTTCCCCTCTTCTTCTGCCAGTCTCCGCCTGTCATTCAAACGCCATCTTGGGTTAGACCCGTTTAGGCGGTGAAATGAGATGAAAGGGGCCATCTTTGGCTTTTTCATCTTATTTTCCCTTGTCTCGGTCCTTATCCTTAAAGATGGATCTAATTAAACTAAACGTGCCACTGGCTTTTCCATGAAAAGAAATGAGGGAATGAGGGGGGGGGGGGTGAGGGGAGATGCTGGTCTACTTACTACATTTTCTTTACTTATTGGCATATCAGTTAGTGGTTGCCTCTCAAGAGGAAGGAAAGGATGAAATTGGTATTAGGGGGATATGAAAAAGAAGAAAATTGAAAAAGCGAGAGGTGTTGATAGGATTTTAGGTTTAAAAGGATGGATTTTGAAAAGGAACACCGGCAGATTGGTGTAAATATATTTATGAAAAAAACGAAAAGAGGAGGAAAAGAAGAGAAATTGGCCTATAATATATAAAGTTAAGAAACCAAATGGAGTTTGATGAGTTTTAAAGATGACAGGATCCCAAAATTATTTCCAGCCGATGGCTTTAAACCAAAATAAATGTACATATAAAATAATTTTTGGTTTCTAAAAATAATTATTTTTAACTAAAAATTTTAACAACAAGTTTTGAAAGGTTTATTCTATCAAATTTAAAATTTTGAGTAAGAGATAACAAAAAATATCTGGGTATACTTCATTAAATAATCTAAAGCAAAAAATTTTTGGGTTTACCTATATGTACATATAATCGTAAATTCATTTTTAATTATTCCTTCATAAAAGGAGTCTTATCTCATCCAGAGCAGGGGTCGATCGGTGCTGGAAACCTGAGCTTTCAGAAATTGGAAATCAGCCTTAATTTTCGGAAATCGGAATTCCGATCGATCCATAGTGTGACAAGACATCGATAACTTAAAAATGGAGACCTATTGAGAAAGAATAAAATTCCCGACTCGAGATTTAATAAAGTATTATAATAAATAAATATTATAAAACCTTAAAAGAATTTTTAGAAACATTTTCTCTTTATTCCAAATCGAATCTTAAGAAAAAATAAAAGTAATTAACTTTATCATTTAAGGAAGAATCATTGAAACAAATTATTTTTTGTCTTGAGGAAACCAAATTTGTTTTAGTAAAAGCTTTTTTGGAGAACAAAAAATCAGTGTAAATAATAAAAATATAAAAGTTTTTGTTACTCCCATTTTCTCTTAAAATTTGACTTCCGGCTCCTTTTTCTTTCCTTACTTTCTACCTCTCATAGTAGCCCTCCTCCAATAAAGGCTGAAAAGAAAGGAGAATCTTTGAGAAACAAACACAAAAAAGTAAAATGATGCGCAAATTGCATTTGGCCAAAAACGACTTTTCTTTATTTTCTGCCATTCTCCTTTCTTTCTTCTATTACAGCCCCAAACCCCAACAGCTTTTAACCAATTCCTTTTTTTTCAAAAAGGCACACTTGATTTCCACGGGAAAGACTAACTTTCCTTGTTTAACAAAAAAAAAGATTTAGTAGGCATCTCCCAACAAATTCTTTATATCTAAATAATCCCTTTATATAAAGTAAGTAACTTCTAATGAACTTTTCAAAGGAGCCAACAAATTGAAAAATAAAAAGAATTGAATCGGGCGGAAATTACCAATTGTCCTCCTTGTATTTGTTTCCCGCAATCATTTTTGGATGTATTTTTTTCTTATAAAATAAAAAAAAATAAAAATGGTTAAGGGAATAAGTAAAAATATAATTTAAATTACATATTTGAGAATTTTTTAAATTTATTTTTCTTTAATTTTATAAATTGATATAAGAATTTTTGTAAATTAAGTTCACAATTAAAATAAATTCTTCCAATTATTCTTTTATAAAATTAATTTTAAAAATTTAAATATAATTAGAAATTCTGAACCTCACTTTATCAAATCACTTTTTGTTATCGGAATAAATCATTTCCTCAAATATTGGATGACTAAATGGGGAGGATGATGATGTCATTTTAGTTTGTTTAATTATGCTGGTTCCGAAATGCAGAATTTTGCAGGGTACAGCACGAAATTTTTCGGAATTTTGTTCTCGAAAGCACGCTCTTTTCGATTCGCAGATCCGTAATCATAAAGTTGATCATTTTCAAGTTTATCTCCAAAGCAATCTGATCTCAAGTGTGTTGTCCTCTAGGGGTTTTTTCTAGACTTGTGGGGGTTACTTCTAAATTGTTATTATTTTTTTTTATTTATTTATTTATTGAGCAAACCACTAGCGCATTTGCGCAATTATAGTGGTAAAAAAATACAATAATAGTAATACAAGTAAAAAAAGTCATACAAAATAAATTGAATGAAAATCAGTAAAAAAAAATTGAAAATTGAAAAATATATATGTGAAACAAATATATAGGTTAAATTTGTAAATATCATTCAAAACTCAGTACATAGTTTTCAATAATTCCCTGAATTCCTTGGGCTTATTAATTTTCATAGACTCTAAAGAAAGACAGTTCCATTCCTTTACTATTCTGTGGAAGAAATTTCTCTGGCTTTTAGTCGTGTGGCTTCTTACTCTTAGTAGTAATGGCCTACGCAATGATCTATTTGAAAAGACAAAACATTTTTTAGTATTTAAACATGTTAACCCTTTAATTATTTTAAAGGTAGTAGTCATGTCAGTTATTTTTCTTCTAATATTTAGTTCTTGTAAGTTGCAAATTTTTAATCTCTCATCATATTTTTTATAAACTAGCCCACATTTCTTAAATGCCATTCTTGTGAAAAATTTTTGAACTTTTTCTATTTTAGTTATATCTTTATTTTGAATCGGATTCCATATTTCGGTAGCGTATTCTAATTGTGATCTAACATATGATTTGTAAGCTAGAATTAAAGTGTTTAATTTCCTTGTTTTCATTATTCTTAATAGTTGATGGCTTTTTAGATAAGCGTTTCTAACAATCCTACTTATATGATCTGTAAATGTTAGTTTACTATCAATTATTACGCCTAAATCCCGAATATTCGTGCACTTCTGAATCTTTTTTTCATAAAGATAATAATCATCCATATTATTATTTTTACCTATGTATAATGAAAAACATTTTTCAGGTGATATTTCTAGTCCGTTAATTTGACCCCATTTTTCTAACCTTATAAGGGAGTTAGAGAGGTCTGAACTCTTATCATTTTTATGAATTTTATATAATTTCACATCATCTGCATACATTTTTATCCCAACATTTTCAGAAATATAGTTTGGTAAATCGTTTATAAATATTAAAAATAATAAGGGGCCTAAAACACTACCCTGAGGTACTCCAGAGTAAGTTGATTTATTTTCAGATAACTCATCATCTATTTTGACTCTAAAGCTTCTGTTTGTTAGAAAATTTTCAAGAAAAATCATTAACTTTCCGTCTATCCCAGCCCGCTTTAGTTTATACAATAATATATTAATTGGAACCGAGTCGAATGCCTTCTTAAAATCAATGTATATCTTAAAATCAATGTATTATTAAAAATATTTTTTTTCTAAAACAAGCCGCGGATCTTTTAATGCTCAAAAAGGAATAATAATTTTGATGAGATAAAATAATATTTTATGTATTTATGTGAATAAAGGTGAGAGGCAATAATGCGGAAACTTTGATGTGAAATGAGATCCTTCATTAAATTAAAGGTAGAGTTTTATAGATTTTTCGATAACTTTTATTTTTAATATAATTTTGGTATTTTTAGATTTAAAGAAAGGTCTCTTTTAAAATTTTTTGTAAGAAGATCAGAAGACTTAAAAATTTTATGATATTAGATGATACATAAAAATACAATCACAAACAATGAAGACAAGCACGTCCAAACGGGCAAGAAATATAAAAATTTATTTAACTAAGGTATTTTCATGAAAACTACTAATCTTGATCTAAATAAACTTTATACCTAA